AGGTCATGATCTCACGGTTCATGGGTTCAAGCCCTGTGTTGGGCTCTGTGCTGACAGCTAGCTCAGAACCTGGAGCCTGTCTTCAGATTCTGTGTCTTCCTCTCTCTCTGACCCTCCCCTGCTCATGCTGTCTCTCTCTCTCTCTCAAAAATAAATAAAAACATTTTAAAAATTAAAAAAAGAATACAGGGAATCCTTGTTCGTATAGTCTCACAGAACCATAAAAATAACAATGCGAGTTGAAAGTGCAAAGTGATCTTAATAATCATTGGGGAAAATTAACGATTGTTCCATGCACTTTATTTTTTTTTTTTTTATTTATTTATTTTTTTACAAATAGTTTATTGTCAAATTAGTTTCTACATAACACTCAGTGCTCATCCCCAAAGTGCCCTCCTTCATGCCCATCCCCCCCTCCCCCCCACATCCATCAGTCCTCAGTTTTTGTCAGCATTCAAGAGTCTCTCATGGTTTGCCTCTCTCCCTTTCCCCCACCATTTCCGCCCTTCTTCTCCCCCTTGGTCCTCCGTCAAGTTCCTCCTAATCCTCCTATACGTGCAAACATATGGTATTTGTCCTTCTCTGCCTGACTTATTTCGCTCAGCATAACACCCTCAAGGTCCATCCATGTTGCTACACATGGCCAGATTTCATTGTTTCTCATTGCCATGTAGTATTCCATGGTATAGATAAACCACATCTTCTTGATCCATTCGTCTGTTGATGGACACTTAGGCTCTTTCCATGTTTTAGCTATTGTGGAGAGTGCTGCTATGAACATTGGGGTACACGTGCTCCTATGCCTCAGCATTTCTGTATCCCTTGGGTAAATTCCTAGCAGTGCTATTGCTGGGTCATAAGGGAGTTCTATTGTTAGTTTCCTGAGGAACCTCCACACTGTTTTTCCAGCACTTTAAAATTTTTTGTTAAACATTGAAAACTGTTGGTTATAAGACTTAGAAAATGAAACAAAAGATAAACTGATTTTTTAGTGCATTGTAATTTAAAACATTAGAAATATCAGAATTCATATGTATTTTTTTTAATAAAAACTCATCAAAATTAGTTTAAACAATGCTTACCTTCTCCTTCTTGACTATAACTTAAAACAGAGAGGGGAGCATCTTTTTTATATTTTGATGAGTTATAATACAATTTTCTAAGTTTGGATCAACGTCCAACATTTTGTCCTTTATGCTTTCAATGTCATAAATTATCTCTGAAAATTCTTTAAGTGTCACCTTCTTTACACTCTCTCTAGGGCCCCTTCATTTTTTCTGCACACCACTTTCCTCCCATTTATGTTCATAACTTTGCCTTCACCAAGTTCCCAACAGTGGCAGTGTCCATGCTTCCCAGGTCAGCTGCTGCTTCTATTACTCCACTGACATTTGATTCAGATTCCACTTCCAGCCTGCTTACCTTTAATTTATTTGCTGCACTTTCAGCTTAGCTGGTAAATTCACTGGGAAGCAAGGAGGCAACACAACTGTATACTTTGCTGCCTGTGTGTGAACTAAATAGCAGGTGCCAGGGTCCTATCACCAAAGACTGGGAAAGAAGCGACATGATCATTTGTCACTGATCCCAATACACATCTGTAATTTACATGGTGATTGTGGATTGAAGAGCTAGCAGTAAAATTTGAACTTCATGTAATTAGTGTACCATAGTGACTGAAGTTTGAACTGTGTTGTTGAGTGACTGATAGTATTTAACTAAGTCATGATGATTGAAATCCATGAATGTCAGGACCATGCAAAGCAAGGACTGCCTGAATAAATGAGCTATCACATGGTACTAATTGGATACAATTTCTGTAGTCATTACAGTTTTAGTGGGTATGCTGGTTGTACAACGGGCTCATTCTTTTTAAGGCTTTTTGGAAGTGACTTACAGAATGCAAATGTTTAATTTGCTATTTGTATCAGGGGAGGCTAAATTATCCTATGGTGACAAATGACCCCTAAATCTCAGTGGTCTTGATGTCTTCCATCACACATTGGCTGAGAGGAGATAAAAAGGCTTTGTTTTACTTTGCCATCACTCAGGGACCCAGGCTGAGGGAACTCCATCTCTCTGCTTCTATAGTTACTAAGGTAGGAATTGGGGATATGATAAATTGTACACCATCTTTTCTAGTTTCCACCCAGAGGTGATATATACTATTTTCAATAACATTTCACTGGACAAAACAATTCACATGGTCATCCCAGAAGAGGTAGAGAGGCAGAGCTCTACAACATGCCTAGGAGAAAGGAATGTTAGGTAAGCAGCCTTTGTGACTACTGTAGTATCTAAAGAGTTACCTTATAGAAAGTTCATCAGGGAAGTGCAATTGAGGACTGGAAATACAGACATAGATAACATCATATTGTCTGTCTACTAGTGAAAGAATCAAGTTGAGACAGAATTTTGTGTACTAGCATTCCAGGAGCTGGATATTGTGGTTACATGAAAATTGGGGTTAAAGGTCAAGATGAAACCAGGAAGTTGTAAGAGAAGCTAGATGGATCATAGCGGTCAAACAAGGCTATTGGCAGAGCTCTGGAGATCAGAACTCATTCAGATGAGAGATCAGAGACTCTACCATTCTAGATAATCCCAACTCTTTTACTGAGATTCCTTCTGTACTTCATCTGAATTTTTTTTAAAAAAAATTTTCACATGTATTTATTTTTGAAAGTCAGAGAGACAAAGAAAGAGCAGGGGAGAGGCAGAGAGGGAGACACAGAATCCGAAGCAGGCTCCAGGCTGCCAGCACAGAGCCCAACACGGGGCTCGAACTCAGGAGCCGCGAGATCATGACCTGAGTTGAAGTCAGCTGCTTAACCAACTGAGCCACCCAGGTGCCCCAAGTACTCATCTGAATTTAAGATGACAACATCTTTTGAAGTTCTGGTATGCTTGACAGAGATGACTCTCAAATTGAGCCTCAGAGGAAATAGAGGCTATGGGTTGGCAGAAAGCATGGTGAGTGCATTCTGGGAGTGAATGAGTAGAGGATGCTATGGGTAGGGTTAGTCAAAAGCAGGATGCTAAGAAAGTGGTAAGAATATAGAATTTCTTAAAACAGGATGAAATAGGGGCACCTGGATGGCTCAGTCAGTTAGGCGTCTGACTTCAGCTCCGGTCATGATCTTATGGTTCATGGGTCCAAGCCCCACATCCGGCTCTGTGCTGACAGCTCAGAACCTGGAGCCTGCTTCAGATTCTGTGACTCTCTCTCTCTCTGCTCCTCTCCCACTTGCTCTCTCTCTCTGTCTCTCAAAAATGAATAAACATTAAAAAATTTTTTTTAAAAAAACGGATGAAATAGAAGAACCATGGGGAATTAATTGCATAATGATTGTCATTTCATTGTTACCATTCCATACTTAATGTGTGTTTGTGTGTTTAACCACAAATCTGTTAAACTCTACAAATCCTCAACAGTGTGCTCAGATGGATGCCCTTACACTGCTCTGGTTCATAGTATTCGGTGTCACTGATGCCTAATGCTTCCATCCCTCTGCATACCACGTTAATGTGGACTCACTCCATAGCTGTGCCCACACCCAAATTTCCCATTTTAATCTAAATGTGATCCAAACTTGTCTAAACTCTCTCTGCTAGTCTAAGTTAGGAGCAAAAATATTTAATGCATTCCTACTCTAGCGGGAGTACAAATACTCCATTCATGTATTTCTTGGCATTAAGTGGAATATTATGTTTGAGAAAAATATTGTTAATATAAAACAGTCACCTTTGGTATGGGATAGTCACATCTGGGATAAAAGCAGTGTGCTGAATTAGTTATACTCAAATGACCACATTATATTTAAATCATAGTCAAATAAAAGCTTTGAAATAAAAAATCAAACATCTGTATTCTTGGACACAGTGATTTTCTTTGTTTATTTTTGTTGTTTTTTATTGTATTGTATATGATTTGTAATGACAATAAAAAACCCCAAAGCAAAAATGTCCAATGCAAATACAGACAAAATCCATTTTATTTTTTTTTTAATTTTTTAAACGTTTTCCTTATTTTTTGAGAGAGAGAGAGAGACAGTGTGAGCAGGGGAAGGTCAGAGAGAGAGGGAGGTATAGAATCTGAAGACAGGCTCCAGGCTCTGAGTTGTCAGCACAGAGCCAGACGCAGGGCTTGAACCCACAAACCGTGAGATCATGGCCTGAGCCAAAGTCGGATGCTTAACCAACTGAGCCAACCAGGCACCTGGACAAAATCCATTTTAAAATAAGATCTGCTGAGGGGCTCCTAGATGGCTCATTTCATTAAGTGGCTGACTTCAGCTCAGGTCATGATCTCACAGCTCATGAGTTTGAGCCCCACGTCGGGCTCTGTGCTGACAGCTCAGAGCCTGGAGCCTCCTTTGGATTCTGTGTCTCCCCCCTCTCTGTCCCTCCCCTGTTCATGTTCTGTGTGTGTGTGTCTTTCTCTCTCAAAAATAAATAAACATTAAAAAATTTTTAAATAAGATCTGCTGGTAACAAAGTGTCTCTCCATGAAATGACATGAGATAATACAATTTTGAGGCTGTTTCAGTGTTTACTCAACTAAATTTAGCTTTTCTACCTAGACATTTTGAAGTTATATAAACTTGCCCTTAGTGTTGGGCCCACTAGACTGAGGGCACGTTTTTCCATTCTTTCCATTTTCCTGTTAGTTTTCTACAATTGGCTCTAGAAGGGGGTCTTTGGGTTCAGAGAACCCTCATATGTAGTGTCTGTTGCATGAGCATGTTGTATTGTCCTTCCAAACCTGAATACTTCCCCCAGGAACCCTCAATGGGTTGTACATGAGATCAGTCAAGAGGTACAAGCTGTGTCAGTGCAGGAAGTGTGCTCCAAAGGGCATCCGAAGTTTTGCTATTTATTCAGCATTATAGTTTTTCCATGCAGTTGACTGACTTTAGGGAAATATATTACTAAAAGATGTAAAAATCTTTCAATTTTCTAAGCTGTTTATAACACCAAAAATTCATTGTTAATATTAGGGCAACATACTTTCCTCAGCAAGACCAACCAATGTGTTAGAAATGATGAAACAATGGAAAAATAACCCAGAAAGTGATGAGGAAAACACAACAGATCCAGTAAACAACTGCTCCATTCAAGAAAGGTTGAAAGACTACCAACCCAGCGGACCCAGCAGAAATGTCCAGGACACCAGTTGCACTTCAGATGAAGAGGGGGAAAAACAGGTAGGAACCAACACAGCAAGTAGGAAGAACAATTATTTCATTTCCCCAGACTGTAAAATACCCTCACAACACTTGAAACCATTTTTGCATTTCTGTCTTTTTTGTTTTTGGTTTGTAAGGAAGGGCCTACATGATAAAGCAGGTAAAGTCTACCCTGAGATTATCATGATTTAGCGGTGTGGCATACATATTTATTTTAAGATCTGTAATTATGTAGAGCAGGGGTCTGTAAACTGTTCCCAGGAAGGAACAGAGAGTAAATATTTTAGGCTCTGTGGTCCATAATAATCTGTATCACAACTTTTCAACTCTGATGTTTTAGCATGAAAATTGGCATTGACAGCAAATGAATGAGCGTGGCCATGTGCCAACAAAACTTTGTTTACAAAACAGATGGTATGTGATATTTGGCCCATGGGTCAAAAGTAATCATTTTTGTGCTTTACCAGGTTACACAATTTGGAATGGGTTTATGTATTACCTAGAAAAAGATTTATTGCATTATCCAGTTTTTTCTTTCCAATTTTATGGTTAACTAAAACTGTTTATATAGGTTTATCATTTTGCCATATTAGATCTGAATAGAGTTTTATTCTTTTTGGTGAGTAAAATTTAGTAACATTTGGTTAATTCCAGATAGTGTCCTATTAACTAGATATCCTAACGATTTACCCAAATCCTTTCTTTCTTCTTTTGTTTCTATATTTGTGTAAAACTTTCTATGTGTTTATTCTCTTTCTTATCTTGAGGCCTAATGAACATGTTTGAATTCTCTTTTAATAATTGAGTGTCCTGTCAGTGGGAGCTGTGTTCACCTCAGGGCAACCCAGAGCCCTGTGAGGAACTGTTGCTTGCTGGCTCCTCGAAGCATGGCATAGGTAGAGTGCAGACAAGGCCCGCGAGGGTGGACCTGGAGCAGCACCGGGAAGTTGTGGCTTCGCTGGCCCGTACTCTCCCGTGCTAACAGCTTCCTTTGCACGGGCAGAGAGAGAATTGGTAGACTGAGTGATCTACTGGTTGGTTTTGATTTACTCGTTGAGAACTTCTTCATCTGCTTAATAGCAAATATCTAGATAATAAGTTTCGCATTCAGTGACTAAGATGTTTCAAAATAATCATATTTCTAAAACCATAATATAAACATGAGTTTGTTGAATTCCCTTCACCCTCTCTGGTCTGCTAACAACTCCTGCCATGTTTAGCAGCTGTGCGAGTTTTATGTTGTCAAAAAATAATACCCTAAAAACCCATGTTTGCATTTCCATAATTGAACATAGTTTGTAGATTTTTCTATTGGCTTACTTGGCATTTTATACATACGTATCCATACGTACACATATACATATGTGTGAATATACATATGGTGAATACACCATATACATATATGCAGCTGATCCTTGAGTAACAGGAGAGGGGATGGGGCACTGGCCCACATGCAGTCAAAAATTTGCATATAACTACTGACTCCCAAAACTTAACTTCTAATAGCTACTGTTGACTGAAACCTTGCCAATAGCATTAATAGTCGATTAACACATATTTTGTGTTATATGTATTATATGCTATATTCTTACAATAAACTAAGCTAGAAAAAAGAAAATGTTATTAAGAAAATCATAAGGAAAAGACATTTACAGTAGTGAGTGTACTGTACTTACCCAAAAAGATCCATTTATAAGTGTACCCACGCAGTTCAAACCCCTGTTGTTCAAGGGTCAACTGTATATATACTCAAGCACTCATGCACATATATTAAGCATATATACACACATGCGTCTACATATACTCATATATATACAAACACAAATACTTACACATAAACCACATACACCCATATTATCTTTTGTATTTTGTAGTCTTGGATTATAAATATGTTTGTCACTGAATTTGACATAAAATATCCTTGTGAACCAAATATTTTGTTGTCTTCCATCTCCTTTTCCATTACTCTGTCGTACATCTCCCCACTTCTCCCCTTCCCCTAGCAAGTCATAGAATGATAGAACTTGTTATGCTATTCTTAGCTACTTCCAACTAGGGAACAAAAGAATTGGAATTTGAGGTGCTTTGTGGATGCTAGAACTTTATATCACCAGTGGTATCAATTTTATACCAGGTAGGTTGAAATTTTAGGAACACAGATTCTACTCATCAGCAGGAAGAACGTTACTACAGCTCCCCTGTACTAGAATGGGCTGGACCATGGATAGTAGACCTAACCTCCCAGTTATTGGAAAGATTCATGCAGACTCTGGAAAGCCACTTGTTAGAAATGCTGTAGCAGGAAACCTGGATGCCTGGATGTCCTCTGAGGAACTTTTTCATGCTTAGGTTTTGGCTGCAATCTCTTGGGTGGAACACATTACCTAGTGCAGGAGTTCTTCTGAAAAGTGTGACCCTTTAAAAGAAAGACTTCTGATACATTTAACACATTAAGATTTTTCATGGATTTTTATGGATAAGTATGTTACTTTGTTAGTTATATTGAAGCTGGATTTATGCTAAGAAATTACTTCTTTTCTTTCAAATCTTCATTAACAGTAAATAGTGTTCTAGCATAAAGTTCTCAAGTGATAAATGAAAATAGAGTTTGCCATTTACTCTTGAGTCCATACAGGATTCATATAGTAATTAATATTCTTAATAGTGAAATTTTAATTTTATTAAAATTATTCTATGAATATGAAAATATTTCCCATGGGGAAAATTGTTAAAATTAGATTATGTGAACAATTTGATGTGATAATATAAATAATTTATACCTAGTAAATTAAGGAAATTCTTTTTCCATTAAAAATTTTGAAATTTGGCTTTAATTTAAGTGGAAACCTGCCAGCAATTCCTGCTTTCCATTGTATCATTGTTCTCTCTTTTGGAAAATCTCACAAATCCATTTAGAGCTCCGATTTTGTATTTTTTATAAACCAGGGCAATCACACTTTTTAGCTAAGTGGCTGAGCTCTTGGAAAAAGAACAGAGAAAGTGAGGATTTATTATAAAGTAAACAAAATCAAAAACACTGAAACTAAGCACCTTCTTCTTTCACTGAATAACCATCCTTTACTTCCAAATGCCCTGGTCATTATGGACAAATATAGTCTGTGTCTCTTCATTGTTCATGCCTGGACTAAGGTAGGTATTCCACTAGGCTTTTTCAAACTTGTCTTCAAACAGTTGGCATTTGGCCATGTCCTTTTTGTTTCTCTTTCTACTTCCAATTTTTAGTCTAATTTGGGTACTTGTGTCTTTGAGGATAGAAATGTTCTCTTGTGTATATCTCATGCTTTACAGGCTGAGTACATCTAGGTAATATTTTATGTTTTTAGTAACCCTCTAAATTCCCTACAGTGGGGGTGCCTGGGTGGCTTAGTAGGTTAAGCATTGGACTCTTGATTTTGGCTCAGGTCATGATCTTGTGGTTCATGAGTTTGAGCCCCACATCGAGCTCTGTGCTGGTGGCACAGAGCCTGCTTGGGATTCTCTATCTCTCCTTCTCTCTCTGCCCCTCCCCTATGCTCTCTCTCTCTTTTTCTCAAAATAAATGAATAAACTTAAAAAAAAAAGGATCCACTGAACAATTAAAAAAATAACTAAATAAGTTCCCTATAGTGGGTTCTTTTTTTTTTTTAATGTTTATTTATTTATTTTGAGGGAGTGAGAGAGCACAAGAGCATGAGCAAGGGAGGGGCAGAGAGAGAGAGAGACAAAATTCCAAGCAGCCTCCACACTTTCAGCCCAGAACCCAATACTGAGCTTGAATTCACAAACTGTGAGATCATGACCTGAGCTGAATCAAGAGTCTGACACTTAACTGACTGAGCCACCCAGATACCCCTACAGTGGGTTCTTAATCTATTCTATCAGAGATACCCAAGACTTTAGCTCCTGCAGTACCATTTACTCATCTTCAAATGAGATGCTTGGCAGACCATTGTCTGTTATAGGAGTATGCCTTTTAACATTATGTCCTTAGTGATTTCAGATAAGTAGTACAATACTTTTATTATTTATTAAGCTCAGAAAACAATTGGGAAATGAATATCAGTAATTAAAATGGACTTCCCTCTAACCATGGAAGGAAGGACCAAAAATTCTGGATGTGATAGAAGTATATTTGCATTACAGAATTCTTGCTTCATAAAGGAGAAACTTCTTAGTTGTTAAATTACTCATTGAACAAACAGCCTTGAATGTACTTGTTTAATGAAAGTGGAAGCTTTTTCTGATTGTTTTCTCTTGTGATTAGTTTTGTTGACTGAAAACATGCCCTTTACAGTGTCACAGGAGATGGTACATGTAGCAGATATTTTAGTCTAGAAAGTAGAAATTCAAGGTTGCTTAGAAACTTTGCAAAGTTATTTTGATCAATGAAATGTATTCATGTGACAGTTCTTCAAAGACAAGAAATGTCTGAATTTAAATAACACTGAAATTAAACAGTTGAACTATGGTATGTTGATATATTTCTACGGGAGTCAGGAGGATAGTTGAGGAGGATAAAGATTTTCTTTTCTTGACAAATTAAACCTTAGCTCTGTGAGCCCATGTGAATCTTGTGCAGATTTGGTGGTGCTTCCACAACTTTGGCACACGTTTGTAGTCCAATATTGAAGCATTGCAATCTGGCATGCACTTAAAATATAATGAATGGTTAAAAACACAATTCCTGTATGTAGGCTGCCTGCATTCAAATCCTGGCTTCACCCTTTACAAGCTTTATGACCTTGAGCAAATCTACGCCTCTGTTTCCTCATCAATTAAGTAGAAATAATGGTAGTATCAACCAAGGATTAAATCGAATAATGCACCTAATACTCTTGACATGGTAAGCACTCATTAATGTTAGCTTTTATTATTTTATTGTTGTATCACTAAAGAACTTGCATAGAATATTACTAAAATTGCCCATCTTTTCTTGTCAGCCTCAAGTCTCTTTTGGGTATAGGTATTTGAATAAACTAATGAACAAACCAAGAAATATCATTTTCGAAAATGATAAG